TCTGCCATGTTTTGGTTTGGCCGCCCCTAACTTTCTTCCAATCTACTCCTACACCACAAAACATAGCTCGTCGGCGGCAGTCGGTGGTTAGGCATACGTAAAACGTGTCCCAACCACCACAACTGATGAAATTTCACTACTTCATCTATTGATTTGCCATCCCTACCTAGAACTCGTTTCCTAACGACAGCATTGGTTATACGGTTGTCCCATGATACATGAGCAATGCTTCGGAGACATCGATGATCAAATATATATATATATATATATGTATATATATATATATATATATATATATATATATATATATGTATATATATATAGGGACAAAGCTACAAAACTTGTTTGGAATGGATTAATTTTTATTTACAAGCGTACACAGAGCTAAACTATGCATAAAAAATCATTCAGTCATACATTAATTATGTGCTCATGGTTTGATTAGAATTATTATGTCTTCCTGATGTAAAAATTAGATTTTGTTGCCTCAAGGAATAATCATTTGACAGTGAGATAAGTTATCATTGATGATAAATCTTCATGGTGCCTCTTCAAAAAATGCGAATGTCATACGTGTAGAGGTCAAGCGTTCGCGGGTGCGATTCCCACATGCAGGCCGTCGGGTGCGCCCAATTTTTCTACCTACTGTTCAACATTGATTGATTTATGATTTCATGGAAACTTAACGATATCCACTATCATTTCATGAAAAACACTACTATAAACGGTACACATTCTCACTTTCAAACTGTTCTAACTTATGTAACACAAGTTGACACAATAGAAGCAATTAACACTCTCGTGATGATTTGTATAATACACGTTACCTTTGTCCACTGTAAATCTTTTAAGCATTTATGTTCACCGTCCTCATGAATTATTAATTTTGCTGGCACTTTTGTGATGTAGGAGAGCATTAAAAACATGAAGTAATGTGATTTATGATCACAAGAAAATATATACAAATTCAGTATTAATCGGAACAATAATCCGACACTCATGTTTGTCAAAAAAAAGTAAACGGATTCGATTCAGATGTCTATTGTAATCTCTCGTGTGATTGTAGTAAAGGATTGTCAGTCAGTCAGTCAGATGCAGCGCAGAACATCGTACGTAAGTACATCAGTTCATGTCGCCATACCACATCAGCACAGAGATATAATTGTCAATTCAAATCCAATAGTAGAAGAGGTAGTAAAAGTATTAAGAGTAATCGGGGAGGTTAGGATGAGAAGATACTATTCAAGAAGTATGATTCAGTGAAAAAGGTTTAGAGAGTCGAAACTAGAGGTGTTGAAGAATTCTGAAGGTTAGCATTTGAGAGAGCACAAAGAATAAATGCACCGGCGCCATTGCAAACGGTTTTGAGACATGTCATTCAAGGTCTCTATCCATCGATTATTATCGTCTCGCTGACCGCAACCAGATAGTCGACAACTACCGTCATGGCTCAGTCCACTAGTCAATGACTTCATGGATTTCCGCCAAGTTTTGGTTTGGCCGCCCCTAACGTTCTTCCAACCTACTCCTACACTACAAAACAAAGCTCGTCGAGGCAGTCGGTGGTTAGGCATACGTAACACATGTCCCAACCACCTCAACTGATGAAGTTTCATTACTTCATCTATTGATCTGCCATTCCTACCTAGCACCCGATTCCTGATAACAGCGTTGCTCACTCGGTTGTCCCACGGTATACGAGCAATGCTCCAAAGACACCTATGATCGAAAACCAGTAACCTACGAATATCTTCTATTCTCACTGGCCATGTTTCACAGCCATATAGGAGAACGGGGCGAACTGCTGCACAGTACACTCGTCCTTTGATTAGAGAACGGATATCACGCCTACGCCATAAGTGACGCAGGTTGGCAAAAGCAAATCGAGCCTTCTGTATCCGAGCTGAGATTTCGTCAGTCGCCAGGCCATCGGCACTGATGAGACTCCCAAGATAAGTGAAGTGGTCTACACGTTCTACTACTTCACTCCCTATCACTAGTTCAGGTGCCGATGCCACCCAATCCTGAAGCAACATTTTGCATTTCGAGGGGGAAAACCGCATCCCGAACATGCTTGCATTATTGCTTAGGGTAGTCAGAAGACTCTGCATTTTGTCAGCATCTTCACCAAGTAGGACTATGTCATCGGCATATTCTAAGTCAATAAGCGAGCCACCTAGTAGGTCTACTCCAGAAAATTCAGACGAGGATAAGGTTATATCTAGGAGAATGTCTATGATAAAATTAAACTGGAATGGAGAAAGTGGACATCCCTGACGGACACCACTTGATGTAGTGAATTCCGGTGACAGTTCGCCAGTGGTGGTGTTCGAGTAAAGGGCTTGTATAAGGTAATGTACTTCTTTGGTACACCTTTCAATGACAGACACTGCCACAGAACTTCACGATCCACAGAGTCAAATGCCGCCTTAAGGTCCAGGAAGACAACTATTGTAGGACGCCTAAATGTGTGTCTATGTTCCAGGACCTGTCTGAGTGTGAAGATGTGGTCTATACAACCACGTCCAGGTCGAAAACCAGCCTGGTTTTCTCGAGTCTGCTCTTCACGAGCTTTCGTTAAGTGAAGGATTGTATCTAACTAAAATTACAGAGTTACTCAGTAAAATCGGAAAACCATATCGTAAATCGGTAATTTGCAAAATATCCGTTCATCATATCGAACTGGACTGTTCCTGTTGCAAAACATCAATCCATTGTCACTCACTATTCATGCGTTTCATACAAACTCCATTGTGTTCTAACTCCTCCTTGCTTTATCTTTCCCCATCTTCTGCTCCCAGACATTACGTTGACACTCACGTCATATACTAAATATAAGTAGCTCGCACCACATAATAACACACACTAAATGATGGTAAGGCAGTTGCAAGTCTTTCAAAACGCTGGTCTATCTGCACCTGCTACCGAATGTAACTAGTCTGTGTGAGAATGAAGTTAACATGAACACCTTGAACTACCGACTTGCGCACTGCCACTGATGAGTAGTCCCATACCAGGACCACGAAACGGCCGTCTCTAAGTGTTTCTTCCAGGTTTCTCTAATAGTGATAGCCTAACATTGATCGATTGATGGTTTCGAAAATGTGTAACTTGACAATCTTCACAACCCCTAAATGTTAAGTCTAAATAGCAATAAGATAACGACAAAACAACTCATTATAAGAGTTAGGTTATATATTTGTCAGTGTATACAATATATATCAGTTTGTAATAATATTTTCGTTAAACAACCGGCCTTCTTCAGGATACAGACGTAGTCTATGCAATGCACTGTGTGGTTAGGATAAATTTATTAGCTGACCGTAGTTAGTGAGACAGAAATTAGAAAAGTCTACTTATAGTGAATGAGTGAGTGAGTGAGTGAGTAGGCAGGTGGTAACAACGGAAACCATTAAAAAAAATTTCACAATAGACAAAACGAGACGAATTAAGTTCACAGTTAACAACACAATTGTTGATGACTTCTTGATGTAGATTGCGTACAGATCTCCAATCATAAAATTTATATTTTTTTATCAGAATCCCAAAAGTATATATATGTATATATGTGATATAATCTAAATTTACCGTACAAGTGTCATCATCGTTTGTATTTTCAAGCACACAGTGTTAGATAATCAGTTTTATAGATATGTAATAAAATAGTTACTAAGGTAATCGTTAGGTCTTCAAAACGGAACATTAAAGATGATATGGGAAACAGCTTCATATTCAGTGCGCATCCTGGTGGGTATTTAATAAAATGATGTGTACTTGAAACCCACCCACACACACAATTGTATTCACATTAGAAATTTTCTTCAAGTAGTCATAATATTGATAAAAACAGTAGTATCGACAATACCACTAGTTATATTATTTATTAACTTGATTCATTGAGGTATATATATTTTTAGACATTGTTGGGCGTTCTCTCTTGTGTCAATTTAATTTTGTGACTAACTTAAGTATCAATCTGTACATAGAGCTATGAAATATTTTTAACTGCTGTTCATATTTTTCAACAGATTTTTCAATGATATTTTTAACTCATTCGACAAATTGTTTTATCCAAAACAGTGGTTCCCTTTGATGAATTTGAATAGAGAAATAAGAAGACATATTTTGTGAGATAGAGTACCATTTCGTGTACCATTTCTCGTCAGTCACATACAAGCAACAGGTTATTTGTGTAAATACATGTAACTGTGGAGAAAGTTACTTAGGGAGGACAGATCGCCGATTGGAAGACAGGATAGAGGAACATATTCCAAAATGGCTATTCAAATCCATGATTCATCAACCTAGCCCATCATCTCAAAATCGATCAAGAAACTCAGCCTCGTCCATTGCAAAACATCTAATGATGAGTGGTCATCGAATTGACCTAAAATCAGCCTTTATAGAGTTGTGACATGTCATCAAAACCCACACACACTCAAACTACTCGAAGCTATCTTAATTGATCGGAAAAGTCCAACTTTATGTGCTCAAAAACAAGTGTATGTTGACCTTTGTTTACCATGGTTCTAGTGAGTGAATAATATCATGCTAAATAAGAAATTTTGACCTTATTTTCAAAACTGTATTTACACAAATAACATGTTGCTTGTATGTGACTGACGAGAAATGGTGCACGAAATGGTAACACTATCTCACAAAATATGCCTTCTCATTTCTCTATTCAAATTGTTTTATCATTTGAAATCATCAGTCAATCATCGTTGAGCGACCATTAGAAAACTGAATGCGCTGGATGGCTATTTCACCCGAAAAATGGGACTCATGGGCAGTGTACATCCACGAGGACCATTAGGTCTCGCTTGTGAACGCTTAAACGTTTTTGACTGGCATTAAGAGGTGGTAATGTCTAACTCTGATCAATCTAAAGTATCGCGCAACCTTACCAGTGATTGATCCCCGATTTCAATCATTCGATCACATAGTATATTCAATGCATGCTTTCACAAGAGTTTATCATTTTTTTCAAAAGAAAAGCATCAATCACTAGCATTCCTTTACGATAATAAATAAATTTTTAAATAAATTTACCCTTCTGTACAAGTGTGAAGCTCCATCGCATTTCCCGGCGGACACTTTCCTAGATGATGGCTTTCATTGCCAACTACACGACATTCTCTAGTTCGACGTTTCCAACCATATCTTCCATAAAATGCACCGGAACATTCTGACCACGAGTTCCAAGGAAGCCTGAAATTGGGATTATAAAAAAAAAATTACAAATCACTATGATTTGATGAATTTTTGATGATTAACTTTAAGAGTTAGAGATTTGCTTTCTACAACTTTAATGTGTCTTTTAGTGGTCTGTGATCTGACTGGAACTCCAAACAACTTTCAAACAAAACCAAAATCACAATTTTCAATACAAATGTCAAGACAGTTCTACTGTATAGAGCAGAAACTTGGAGAACTACCAAAGCCATCATCCATAAGATACAAGTGTTTATTAACAGTTGTTTACGCAAAACACTCCGGATTCGTTGGCCAGACACCATCAGTAACAACTTACTGTGGGAGGGAACAAACCAGATTCTAGTGGGAGAGGAAATCAGGAAGAAGCGGTGGAGTTAGTGGATAGGACACACATTACGGAAAGCACCTAACTGCGTCACGAGACAAGCCCTCACATGGAACCCTCAAGGCAAAAGGAAAAGAGGCAGGCGAAGGAACACATTACGCCGAGAAATAGAGAAAGATATGAGAAGAATGAACAAACATTGGACAGAACTGGAGAGGGAAGCCCAGGAAGTAGTTGGTTGGAGGGAACTGGTGGGCGGCCTGTGCTCCATTGGGTGTGGTAACAGGCGTAAGTAAGTAATTAAGATCTGACTAACTCCATTTTGGATGAATGATTGATACTTTGGGGAACTCCGTTTGTACGACGGCAGCAATAGGAAGCCAACTATGGATTCAGTTAGATAGGTTTATTTCATGCCATTGTTCATGCTCACAGACATGAGGATACAAGGCATAAAATCAAAGCAAAGTGGAGCTCAGTCTAACTCAATGCGATGAGACAAGACTAATTATTTGTAGTCAGACAAAAATAAGCAAACCAAGAAATCCACATATGCACTCAAGTGAAACAACAAAGATTTTAAGCGACTGATTGACATGGTCAAACTACATGTTGTGAGTTGTAATTCGGGCAGAAAAGGTTAATTCGTTTCTTCAACAATAAAGGCTGGGGACAAACTCTGTGGGCTCAAAGTATTTGTTATGCATCATACTACAATCTACCAGGAAATACATTTTGTCGCTCATCCAAAGATGTGTTCACTTTTCTACATGAGAAGCTAACTCACCAATAGTTTTGATCAACTGAAATGTATTTACGAATAATATCAAAGATAAAGTAAGTCATAGGAATTTCTTTCTTTCAGTTACATATGGTCTGGTGTGAGCTACTTATAAGTAGTTTATGACGTGAGTGTCAGCGTAATGTCTGCCAGCACAAGATGGGGGAAGATCAAGAAAGGAAGAGTTAGAAGAACACAATGGAATTTGTATGAAACGCATGAATAGTGACAATGGATTGATGTTTTGCAACAGGAACAGTCCAGTTCGATATGATGATGGACTGATATTTTGCAAATGAACGATTTACGATATGGTTTTCCGATTTTACTGAGTAACTCTGTAATTTTCGTTAAATACAATTCGGTTGCCCCACCTGTGTTCTCGTTCACTACAATGGTAGTATTAATTTGAATGATATTTCTGAACTGTTCGACATGAAATACGTGCTTAATATGTAGCGAAATTAACAAACATGAAATAACTATCCCTTGATCATAGAACCGAAAATTTCAAACGACGCTTAAATTCGTCCAAACAATGGTCATTCGATAAAAACACCTACCATTGTCTAATTTCCGGTTCTGTACAATATTTACCTCGCCAACCATAGCCGCATAAACATAAAAAATGTGCATTATCTTTACTAGGTATGCAGGTTCCTTTATTTCGACAGATGATCTGTTTTAAACAATAAATAAATAAAAATATTATTATTATTATTATTGTGGTTGGGACAAGATCATTGATTTTCATGAAAGCAAATGGTGTCGAAAAAAAGAAAAAAAAATAATTTCCCAATTTTTAGAAATAAATCTGTCAAATATTTTCTTATAAAAATTTGTTAGACAGAAATGTGAACAAGTGTTCATTTAAAACAAAGAATTTGAATTGTAACGCAAAATATTCAGTTTTTATAACAATGCGCCTACAGTTGAATCTGTATATGTTAAATTTTATTAAGCTCTTCACAATTAACTTATTTTACAGACAGGGTTATTCAATCCGTAAGGATTTGTTTTTATATCTCCGCACCACTAACTCCCTCCATCTGGAGACCCTCTACGGCTACTGCCGGTTCAAAGACCGGATAAAGGAGGAGGAGGATTAGTAGGCGTGAGGTTGCCAACTCCAAACCCTTAGAAAATTAACTCGCTAAAGAAACGCTAACACAGAAGAAAATTAGTTCAAACTCAGTGTAACTATACATTTTTGAAACCATGTATCGATCCATGTTAATCCGCCATTGGAAACCTGGTAGAAGCACTGGACGTACGTTTCATCCTGGTATGGGACTCCCGAACAGTACGCATCAACGACTCCTGCACCCTGCAGCATTCGAAACCCAGGACCCTCGGCATTGTGCGCGAACGCCCCAACCATTAGACCACTGAGCTGGTATCTAACTGTTTGAATGTCTAACTTGATCAAATTCACGGAGTCGCGCAACCTCATACACAGTCTTCGGTAGTAGTTACTGTCTATACCCGAACAGGTTGAACTTCACTGGTCACGTCTCCCCACTAGATGTCGGAGAAGATTCCTCACGAAGCTAGTCGTCACTAGTGAGCACAGGTAATTTGCATTATGGGGTTGTTGTGAAGATTGTTAAGTTACACATTTTGTGAAACCATGATCGATTCATAGTTTCAAGAGTGATAGCAATAATAGAAGTATTAGCAGTAATGAAGAAGATTAGGGAGCGAAGATATGATGCGAGAAGTATAATTCAGTGAGATAAATCTAGAAAGAGAAAATTGAGATTATGAGGAATGTGGAAGCTCAGAATGTGAGAGAACACAAATAGTGGATTCACCTGAGCCATTGCAAACGATTCTGAGTCATGTCGTTCAAGGTCTCTAACCATCGGTGACTATCGTCTCGTGGACCCCGACCAAGTAGCCTACGTCATAGCACTTTGTTTCGTTCCTGAAATTTAGACACTGTTAGGAGATATTGAATAACTGTTATAAGGACGAGTGATCTAATAAAAGGTCGTTGGTCCACTACAATCTTTGCAGTATTGAATGAAGAAACAGTTATAAAATGCAAATAGTCTAATTGAATAATGTGAGAATGTTATGTTCGTCACTAGGTACGCTTGAAGCAAATACGAGATCACCTTAGTCGATAAACGCGAACGAAACAATGAACCAGCGTCTAGGTAGGCTAGCTTGAATCCCAAACGGTAAACAGAAGGCTTGGTAAGCGTAGAAAGTATATTCTACAAACACCAAGCAATCACCACAATACAATCAAGCATACAACTCTCGTTTATTTATACATAATTGAAACGTCCCTGGGAGAGTCACAAAAATAGCACACTAAAATACACAACAACCAATCACAGCTGCGGATTTTCCTGGTGGGAAATGAAATCCCAAAGTCAACTGATCAGTCCATACTCGCAAACGTGAAATCCAAAATCAAGGCATTTATCAATCGAGTTCTCTGCGGATCTAAAATCCCCAACAGAGAAGCGAATTGAAAGCTTGCTCATTGTACATGTAAAGCGTTGTTTCATATCTTCAGAGATGAATCGCGTAAATCGATAAAGTGAACAATCATTTACAGCGGAAGGTTGACAGAATCCTCGGTAATGTAGCTGCAGTTAACTAAAGCTGTTGTTGAAATAAAATGATTCAAGTCTAATCAACTATTTTCATCTTAAACAAGATCAATGCAATGAAATGAATTTGATTTTAGTGTATCGGTAGTTGTGATTAGAAGTAGTGTTTTTTCTTTCAATCAGTAGTACTTTCGTGTATAGTGTGCCACTTGTTAAAAATTCCAGGAAATAAATTTTTTTTACATTGAATTATATTATACTTCATTCCGTATAGCTATTTGAATAGATCAATAAACAAAAATTCCATGCCTTGTCAGACTTAATCATTTTGTTTTGTTCACACCTTTTTTTTCTAATCATACAAGAAAATAGCAAAGCTGAGTTAAACTGTATTTTGGTCAAAGTGAGAAGGAAATGTGTATGATGAGTGTGGTGTATCATTCAGTAATGATAAAATCACTGAAGATTCACTATCAATCAATATTTCACCTACAACAACTACTCGTCAGTTAGTCATTTGGATCATATATATTTCACGATTACACTCATTCAGTTTCGCTATATTCCAAGTCACATTACAATATAGCATGATAGTTCTGCTTCATATCCACTATTAAAATTGATCGTCCTTGCTGACAGACAGACAGACAGATACAACACAGAACTTCGTATGTAAGTACATCACAGTTCAGGTTGTCATTACCAAATCAGCACAGAGACGCAACTGTCAGTTCAAATCCAACAGTCATAGCGATATTAAAAGTATCAGCAGTAATGGAGAAGATTAGGGAGCGAAGATATGATTCGAGAAGTATAATTCGGTAAGATAAATTTAGAGGGAGAAAGATAGAGATAATGAGGAATGCAGAAGCTTAGAATTTCATACAACACAAAGAGTGTATGCACCTGCGCCATTGCAAACGATTTTGAGCCATGTCATTATTCAAGGTCTCTAACCATTGGTGACTTTCGTCTCGCAGACCTAACCAGGTAGTCTGCATCTACCAACATGACTCAGTCCACTTGTCAGTGACCTCATGGATTTCTGCCATGTTTTCGTTAGGCCGCCCGTATCTTTCTTCCAACCTACTCCTACACCACAAAACGTAGGTCGTCGAGGCAGTCGGTGGTTAGCCATACATAACACATGTCCTTACCACCTCAACTGATGAAGTTTCAATACTTCATCTATTGATCTGCCATCCTTACCTAGTACTCGTTTTCTAACGACAGCATTGCTTACTCGGTTGTCCCATGATACATGAGTAATGCTTCGGAGACATCGATGATCGAAGACTAGTAACCAACGGAAGTGCTCTACTCTTTACGGCCAAGTCTCGCATCCGTACAGTAGTAGGACGGAGTGAACTGCTTCACAGGATCGTCCTTGCTAATAGTGAGATATATTTGATTTTCACAAACCTAGTTGAATAATGTGTAATAAGGTTACTGAAAAGTTTTGATAAACCAATCAAATTAGGGTTGATGTTTTAAATAAATGATTAGCTAGATTATATGTTGATTAACTTTAAGCAAACCAAACCATTTGAAAAGAGGATTAATGGTATGAAAATTCTAGTAGATTTAAATTTGACAAAACTATGTGAAAACAGCTGCTTAGTTAATGTTTAGAATAATGGATCCCGATCGATGTAAATAAGTTATCTAGATATAGTAGTCACTGAGACAAATGCTTGAAAAACCATATCTCGTTTACTAAATTTAGTATCTATTTACTTGAGACATCGGATAGAAATATCAAAATTGTGAACAGAATGTGGTAGTGAAGTAAAATGCTGCCTTTGATGATCTCATACAACTTAAATGTTGCAGCGTTTATTATCTCGTTGTATTTTTTCAATTAGAGTTATGGATATCATTGTTCTGACACACTGAAATCATCACTATTAGAAAAATATGGAAGCACTGAGAGACGGCCGTTTCGTCCTGGTATGGAACTCATCAGCAGCAGTGCACATTCATGACTCCCACCACTCACAGGACTCGAACCCAGAACCTTTGGTCCTACACGCCAACGCCTAACTTCTGGACCACTGAACCCGCATCCGACGGTGTTTATGTCTAACTCTGAGCAATCTAGGGATTTTAAGCGACTTCATGCATTTGTCTTCTGTAGGTAATGCCTTCTTCATCCGACAGGGTTGAACTCCACTGGTCAATGTATTCTCACTAAAAACTCTGACAATTCTCTCGGATCGTCACGAAAGCTGTATTTACATTACAATGTTTCAGGAAATTTCAGTAACGATGTAGTGCCTCCACATATATTCCAGTTCTCTTACATCTAACTTGGTTAAGCCCTTTCGATCAATGTATTTAACCAAGCCACCTGTGTACTGCAACAATTTATATGTACCATCCGTTCTTATTATTGTCTGGTTTGTATGAGCTCACATGGTGTGTTCCACTTGTCATTTGACCTTGTCAACTATTCGTCGCTTTTATTCATGTGTGCGCATGCCTATCTCGTTGATCTCATATCAGTCTTATTTTTGTCTGACTATATATTCTTAGTCATACTCTATCTCTTGGAATTGGCTCATTAGCGTTCTGCAACGCGCTTCGCCTGTTCATTCGCTTCCTTCGCCTATTCGTTCGCATTGTAATCCTTGAAGTTGGCTCAACAGCCCTCTCCAATTCACGTCGCTTCATTCGTTTTATTCACTGCTTCACCGCTTCGATTTGTGGTGTGTCCCAAATAAACGTATTCATCACTACGAGTTCACCATCTGATTTAAAACCGTCAGATGCCATTTAATAACGATTATCTGTACGAGCTAATTACCGAGCTTAAGAACACACAGTAAATTGGCCACCACAACGTTCATTATCTGACTTGAAACAAACTAAGATAATTAAAATATAACCAGTTTCAATAGATAGGGAAATAAAATCAACTTTTACAGCTAAAATGAAATACCTACTTATTACAATAAAATAAATAATCGTAACTGACAAAAATGACAATCTGCAGCATAAAAATTAGTCTGTTAAAGTTGACATCATGATTCTGAATAATAAATCATTGATCACATGACATTAAACAGTGGAATCATCATATACAATGAATACAGGAGAGACTTTTTAAAAA